TTTAGACATCAGGCGGTTTCCTGGCAGGAAAGAACTTTTCCCTGGCCGATGTGATTGTTTTTCCAGCCATTGCTTATCTCTACCGCTTTGGGTAAGTGGACTAAATGACCAGAAACATCTCTTAGCAGCCTGGCTAGATGATTGGATGGAATAAAAATAGCAATGACCTCACTCCAGCTTTTTTCTTTCCTGCAGGCTTTCTGAAGAGCGGTACCCAAAACTGACAGAATACTATAAAAATCTGATGAACAGACCCAGCATCAAAGCCACCTGGCCTCCTACTTGGAAGGAGACACCAGGACAGGACATACTTAAAGACATCTGAGATTCAGATGCTCTTTGGTTAACCAGCTAACGTTTCCTGTTGTGTTTTTCATGTATACTGCTCTATCCTTTCATATTTTTTAACATCATTTGTTTCTGAAACTGTCTGATTCTCATTGTGATGTGAACAAACAGCAATAAAAAAAGTTTCAGTTTTGTCTGCTTTATTAAAATCATATTATTGACCACTAAAGACCTATTAGAGTTTATTTTAGGTTTTCACACTTTTCACTGCAGATTTTATGTTTGGATGCACTTTTCAAGAAAACTGACATGATCCTTCCTGCAACTTCTGTAGAGAAAGAGAGACAGCTCACTAGACTCAGCTAAATAATTGTTTCTGAATAATTTTTATTCAGATTGTAAATATTTCTTTTCATAATGGACTCAAGCAAAGAACAAGCAAAGATCTCAAATTAAGAGCAACTTGATTTATTGGGTTCATCATGGGGATTTTGCTAAAGAGAATATTTACTGGGAGAGTGAGTATTTTCTCCAGGTTTGGTTATAGACTATCAATTCTATCAAGGTGTAGTTCAGAAAATTCAGGGCCCATAAATACTCGGTTGACCTAAAAGGGAGTTGTTTCCTTTTCCTCTTTTTAATGTGTCTCTTATGAGCCAGCAAGTTTCAAACCAGGTACAGAGGAGACCCCCATCACAAATGATGGCATTTGAGTTCCAAAACATTTAGAGCCATTTACAGATGTGCATCTTTTGGACTTGGTTAAAGAGGAATGTGATCACCAAAACTGTGTGAAATGTCTTATCCACTGCCCTGTTTGTCTGGGAGGTTGGAGTGGTTTCACCTGTTGAACCGGTTTTAAAACCTTTTCCCCTGAACAATGTTTGTTTTCCCTGAACAAGGAGCTCATGAGCTTTCTGTGTTTTTTGGGGTGTTGCCATAATGGCGAGTATTCTTCAGACGCTGAGGCTGATTATGGGGTTCCACAGGGTTCTATGCCAGGACCATTTCTATTCCTATTATCCAGGCTTCATTTAGGCACTATTGTCAGATGGCATAATATACATTTTACCAGCTTTATTTACCTATGAAGCCATATGATGCAGTCCAGTTAGTTAAACTCCAAGAATGTTTTGAAGACATTAGCTGGGACTACAATAAGAGAACATATATCTATTCCGTCAGCTTCTCTTGGTTTTCTGTTAAATTGAGAATGAATTTTAAAATCCTTTAACTTACATAAAAGGTCTTAGATAGTCACGTATCATTTCATAGTTTCATACTATCCCAACATAACA